CTTTTTCCTGAATTTTTCTTCTAACCCATAAAAAAAGGAAGAAAAAGAAGTAAAAAAAAAACATACACACTCTTTAAACTTTTTTTCACAACTGTAAATCAGAGAAGGAAAAAAGAATTTCGCTCCTTTTTTGCGAAACAGTCACACATTTTCCCTCTTTTTATTTTGAAGTAAGCCTTGGAGAGATCCTTTTTATAGACGTAAAGGGTCAGCTTTATAAAACAAAAGGAATTTGAAATAGGTAAAATAGTTTTCCCCAAGAACCTATATAAATCTGATTTTTTCCCTATCACTGAGTGGACACATGCCTTTCTTGGGAATGAAAGGGAAAATTTTGAAAGTTTCTAACCAGTAGAGCTGATCCACTTGAAGACTAACTTTCATTTATTGAGAATCTGAAAGATAAGAAACGAGGGACATAAACTATGTTTTGTTTGCTCAAAATTTTTCTTCTTATGTTTTATTATGTATGATGGTAAAAAATTTATTCTTATCATTATATATATATATATATATATACTATATGTCGTTGCATTTCTGCAGTCTGTCATGTGGCTCCCGAGTGTTTTTACTACAAGTTAAACAGCTAATGAATCTCGAATTAACTGTCGAATTGGAATTTTTTTATATTGTACACAATGAACAATATTTTTCACATTTTCGTCATTTTAAATGTTTCTTCATTTCTAGTAGATTTAGTGCAAAAACACAAAATGTACGGTTGAACTTCCAAAGTTTAACATCCGAAACAATTGCGTTGGCCCTTACGATTTTTCAATGAAGGAAAAAAGTTTTATGACGCTTGATTAATTCTATATGCAGATGCAGTACATTATTAGATATGTTTATGAATGTTGAATAACTGTGCCGTTAAAAGTTTCTGCAACCTTTATGGTGTTAAGTCAAACCATGTTATCATACATTTTAAATTCAGCTTTTGACTTATCACTCTTAAACCAACTCACCCCATTTTAATATCAATCTTGATTTCATCGATCTTAACTCATGTCCATCCACCATTTCATCATATTGCCCGTATTTAGATTTTATCAGCTCTACTTCACAACCCACTTGAATTTCTTTTAACACATGTATCTTTTAAACTCACTGGTTTTTATGGTGTGTTTTATGGTATCCCTATTCAAGCTTATTTACATGATATTTTCTGTTACTTTGTAAAAAATGAAAAAAAAAAAAAAAACATATTTTTGTATGTTATATTTTTACAAAGATCCTTTGACCTGATAATTTTAATTGTATAAAACGATTTATTTGATTATTAATTGTATATTAATTGTGAAGATTTACTAATTGTATAAGAAGATTTTGCTTACAATTTTACAATGCGCCTGTTGCCATTCTTTTTAATGTAATGATTGGTTCTAAATAAATGCCACGAGGGGGGGGGGGNGGGGGGGGGGGTGTGCTTCACCGAGTCTCTCGACCGGCGCATGTGATGGTGCTGAACTACCCTCCCCTTTTGAGGGAGTGGGCTGTCGCGGCGACGAGTCTGTAAATTCCCACGTATCCACATTTGGGGGGGGGNCACATTTGGGGGGGGGGGTCGGAGCAGTTAAAATTCCTTATCCTATACTATTGTTCCTCTTAATATGTGGATCTATGTAGTGCCCTATTGTAGCTAGTGGAATTGCTGCACTATGCTTAAAGTTGAATTAGGGCACTATGGATTGCATTCTGATTCAAAGCGCAAAAGATTTTTTTTTACTAAGTTTTATTGAACAGGTAATATAGTTTTATTATACGTTTTGTTCTAAATTACATAATTTTAATTTAATTCAGCGATTTAGTCATGTTGAATGAATTTTATATATTTCAAGTTGAAACCTGTTAATTCATTTTGAAGTATTTCTAAATTTAAACACTTGGTTCCCTAATAAACTTTACGGAAACAAGTTCCATTGAATTTAGTTTTTTTTTAATCTAAGTTTTCTTTTAAATTACTTTTTACTGGAGAATATGCTTTGAATATGTTTTAAATGAAGTAATTTTCGGTATCTCAAATATGGCAAAGCCTATTAAATATCAACTTGTTATTTATTTGCATTAAATTAATTTCTGCGATAACATTAGCCAGTTTAAATTGTTTGTCGATTACAAATTGGAATGTTTGGCAAATATGAAGTGAACTAATTATACTCTTGAATTATTTTGATAAGATTTTGAAATTACTTGATAGAAATTTCAAATTTGTTTTAATTGAAAAACTTTCCGGTTTTAAATGAGATATACATCTGAAATGGAAAAGCACGCCATTTTTTTAATTCAAGGGATATCATTTCATAAGTTGTTTGTTAACGAGATTAAACATGTAGTATTTCGTTATTTGATCTTCATTAAAATAAATTTTCCTTTATCTTTCAGTCCGAGAAGTTAAGAATCTGACAAATTATAGATAAAATATGAACTTCTATGTCAAATTAAATAATTCTGAAACATTTTTAAGATGTGAATATGTCTGTTTTTAATTCATTAATTAGCTTTAATAGAAGTTTGGTTTAGGACACTAAATGCAAATTTATCACGCAATTTTTAATTTCAAATTCCTTTTACCATATTTTTAATGAGGCACTTTACAAGCTAAATATTAAAGTTAAAAATGTTATGAAAATTTCCTTTTAATTAACCTTCTTAAAAATGCAAGAATTTAAAGATGAATATATTTCTGATTTTAATGAGAAGTGCACAGATTTATAGAAAACTTCTTTTCAATGAAATTAAAAGTTAGATTTATTATTAAAAATGCCGTCCAATTATGGAAAGAAAATTAAATTCTGAATGGTGATCTCAAAATTACGCTATCAAAATTATTGATTCGTCATATTTTAATAAATATTTAATTTCAGCTAAATAATCAGTTGCGATTGCAAAAAAAATTCTTTTATGACAATTTAAAAAAAAAACAAATATTTTCTATACCTATTTGGAGATTTTTTTAAATTTTATCTCTTAAAAATTAGTCCGTGTGTCCCATCAATCCGTCTCTTCATCTTTAGTTTTTTCTTCACTTTTAAAAACAAGGAAGTTTATTCGGAGGTTTGATTGTGTAGTAATTTTCACGTTAGTTTACTGTTTCTTTAAACTCTATCTTTATCGATATAATATACAATGAATTATGAGATGGAAGGAATTTAACACCTTCTATATGAGTCGGATTGCACACCGAAAATCTTTATATAACGAGCTTATTTTTTCATCAAAATAAAAACAACTTATTTTATTGTTTGATTGTGCAGTAATTTTTTTAAAACATGCAAAGTAATTCATTTTCTTCCGTTTCACTAAAATATTTAGCAGTGACCCTATAACGAATATTGTTTCTGTTGCATGTACTGTTTAAAATTTTTCGGAATGTTTTCCGTTGAGTATTGACTCTTAATTAAATATGCAAGACTAACAAATGTATATAAAAAAAATCACTTACAAGGTAAACTGCATCAGTGATCATAATGCAAGCGTTAGCTCTTCAAAAGTGAAGTCTTGAATTACTGAATCTAAGAAAAAAATATCTCATAATTTATTTCGAGAAATTTGAGTTTATTTCAGAATAGCAATAGAAGAGTGCAAAAATATATAAGGTCATGCGAAATGTCATCAATGTATTTTTCATCTAAATGCTACAAATCTATTTTTGATATATTTGAAAACCATCCAATTAAGATACTATTCGAGAAAAAAAAGGATAACTCTAAGCAACATTTTGTTTATTTTTTGTTTTCTGTTGCATGCGATTTCGTACCAGATCTTAAATACATTTGTATCGCTGATTTAAACTCTGCAATCTGATTCTCTCTCCAAGCTACAGTTTTTTTTCTTTGAACTGATATTTTTAGTTAATTTTTTGTCGAAATGTTCAGAAACGTTATATTTAACACATGGCCGCTTAAATGTTTTGACTACCGTTCAAGGGAGTTAGGGCACTTCATCGAAATTAAAACTTCATAAGAAACAATTCTTGGAAATATCGTTATACACAGCTAGGGGTGTTTTGCTATGATTGGTAGGGGTGATTATGAAATAATTCATTGTGCGGTTCGGAAAATTTCATAAGAAAAATGCCCCTAGCAGCGTATGACAATGTTTCCAAGCAATTGTGAGACAGTTTTAATCCTGATTAAATACTCCAACTCCCCTAGAAGTCTTCCTCAGTGTTATCAATCCTGTTTTAGGTAAAAATATACTTGAGGGTGACCCTTAGCAAAATTGGTGACTTATGTTTGGCGCCATTCCTGCTTGCACGGAGCACCGTGGTAATTACTGCCAAAATATAATGATATTTCAATAAAATTTGGGAAATTTCAACAAAACATCGACCAAAACTTTATAAAATTGCCATGAACCCGATATGAGCAAAATTAATAAACCCAATAAAATGTATTTTGAATCAAAACAAAAATTAATGGAGTCAGCACAGAAAGAAAAAGAAAAAAAGAACTCACTCCCTCGGTAAGCTTGAATATCCTCTGATTTAGGTGAACCGAATTCTCTAATAGCACTTAGATACTGTCTATATTTATCATGAATAGAATCTGTGTACCTCCATCGCAAATACGAATACGAAACACGAATCGAAAATGGCGTCTGTGGTACCGGACTTGCGATGACATTCTTTTCTGAAGTCCCTTTTCATGACTGCCCACATACCTTCGATCTTATTGACCAGAAGCAAGAGTAACCTTGCCAGTCGGTATCCAACGTAGAACTAACGGACCTCTGTACCTGAAATTACATGTACCGTTGAACATTTGAAAATAACGCTAGAATCTATACCAATCAGAATCACGATTGGGTTTCAAAATCGCCCAACTTGATGATCAATCGCGATCACAACTTGGCGAGAAACAAGGGGCATCCTCAAATATAGTTTATCCCTGCTTTATTAACTAGTATTTGTAATAACTAGTATAGTAACGCATGCATTGTATTTTTTTGGCTTATTTCAATTATGCTTTTCTAAACTTTTATTTCCTTTTTCTTTCCAGATTACAATGAGCTTATTGCTGTGATTGATGCTGAACTCACTATTCCGTGTAATGTGACTGCATCTTTTCCAGATGATCAAGTAACCCTGATACTTTGGTACAAGGGTGATTCTGGCAATCCTATTTACAGTGTTGATACGCGTCAAGTAGATGGCGTGTCTTTGAAGAAGTTATCACATAAACAATTAGAAAATCGTGTCACCTTTAGCATAAACTATACTCAAGCATCCTTAAGTGTAAAGCCGGTGAAAGAAACTGATGCTGGTGAATACAAATGCCGAGTAGACTTCAAAAGGTCTAGAACGTTGAGCTCTGTAATGAAAATTATAGTCATAGGTGAGTATTTTAATTACTTTTACAAGTATGAACGTGAGCGAATTCAAAGTTTTGTGAAAATGAAGACTTAAACTTTTTTTAAGAAAAGTGTGATGAAAAATATTCAGCACTTACTAAAATTAAACTCATTAATTTTTGCCGCATCAGCAACTTGTATATTTGAAGTATATTTCATTATTTTGGTCAATTTTCCACCACTACCACAGAAGAAAAAAGTATGGTCAAAACTACCAGAATATGGCAAAATTTGTAGTGTTTCCAGTTCTATGGGGACACCAAGATGATCGGTAATTACACTTCGGTAATGTTTTTTTTTATAATGAGTGATGAAATTTAATCAATGCTATAAAATTTAGCAATTTTATTATACCTTAGAACATGAAAACCAGTAATCGGTTAAATTTACTTTTCATTTTTAGATTTTTTACTAAATGTGTGGTACTAAGAACTATAATTTTTAAAAACCAGAATTTCCGGTAAACGTTACTATATGAACGCAAAAATTACTAAAAGAATGGTAATAATACCGTATGCTCAACCAGAATCCTTTCTTCATGCATGAAATCACTGAATTTTTTATTACATGACCTTCAAATGTTTGTCAAATTTCTAATTGCATCGTATTACTGATTTTGTATAGGACAAGATCTGCTGTAATTTAATCAAATGAATTATCCAGGTTCATCAGGGCAGTTTCCTTACTAATGCTACCACAGCAACTTTTAGTTCTATATAGTTAAGATTTCTGTAATATATATAAATCTTTCAAGCATTATGTGCAGCAATCAAACTTAAAAACAGAACACTCGGTATATTTTCTGACCAAATTATCAGATTTTCAAGTATTAACGTAGGTGGCTGGGTGGCGCAGTTGGTTTGTCGTCGGCCTTCTGAGCCCAAGTCTGCGGGTTCGATCCCCGGCCCAGACACCGGATTTTCGAGATGCAGAAAATCCTCAGCGGCCATGTAAAAGATCCCTGAAGTGCCTTATTGGCTCTTGGCATTTCTGGCAAAACTAAATTCCTTGTGCACTTTAGCATCCAAATAGAGTCTCGGTGCTGCCATCTAGTGTGGCAGAAACTAGACGTCTTAGTTAACATGACAAACGGTATCTCATCCATTGTGGTGTTCCTGAAAGACTGGATACCACCTCTGGAGAAAGCACTAGGTCTGCTCATCGGCAAGATCGATTGTGCAGATCATTGGAAATAAAATAAAAATAAAAAAGTATTAACGTTCAATCATAATGGCTCGAGAACCTTATTTTAGATAAGCAAGTTAACTATTGGAACCGATACTTCAGCCCACTGCCGGTTTTGCACTTAAAAAAAGTAGTATTTCAACCTGAAATCTTCTTCGCGTAGCGATACCGTTTTTTTTTCTTCTTCTATTCATGTTATTAGATACGGAAATTGTGTATAGGGGGAAAACATTCTTCTGATTTTTTCCCTTTGTAAAACCGCCTATGGGTAAAAATATGAAATCAGGCTTCAAAACGTACATCATATAAGTAAACATACTTTATCTACGATAAGGATTTCTGACCCTTAGAGTATCGGAAGAAGCCGTGATCCGGGAAATCTGATCCCAATAGTTAGGTAATGTAAATTTTACTTTTGGTGTATTTCACTGCATCTCGGGAATTTTGTAAAAAAAATCGCTTTCTTTATACTATAATAAAATTTGTTTATTTAAAGGCAATTCCATGCAAAGCTGAGTTAACCAAAATGCTAATCGGCATTTACCAAATAAAAAAAAACATTTATTTCATGCACCAAATTAAAATTTAATCAACCTGTTTTTTTTAAATAGTCGAGTTAAAATTCAAAGTAGCCACACATTTTGGCCCTGATATCAATTCGGAAAATAATATAATAGGAAATAAACAATAAATAACAGCAAACATAACATTCGTAACAAAATATTATACTTGTAAACCAATGCTTCTTTTGGACTAAAGAAATTTAAAAACAGGTTTAATAAACAGTCAACTGAACAGAATATTTATAAATTTTTAGTCAAATCGACTTTAGCGTATGCAGCTGAAACAGGGACCATGGCAGAAAAATATAACTGTTTGTAGGTTTGCTGCGAAAATGCTCAAGACAAATTTTTTTCGGAATTCAAAGTGATGTCAGCCGGAGGAAAAAAAAAAACAAATAATGAACTGTGCGAAACCCTCAAAGACTTAGATGTAATAAATTTCATCAGCATCCAAAAATTGAATATTCGCTTTTTTTAAATGTTTTTTTTTAAAAAGTAAACATTACGTTATCCTAATTCTGCTTACGTTAAGTACCGTGATAGTATTGGAACTTTCAGAAATTTGCAAAAATTACTATTCTTGCAGATTTTTTTTGTTTCCTTACTGAATAAAAAAATATATGCATAAATATTCCAGATTTCGCATAACGTACAGTGTCAATGTAATTAATGAGTTGGGTTTGTATTCTGTATTAAATCTCAGAAGTGGTATTAAAATAAAGAAAAATGTCTTAAAAATGTTAAAAAGCAATTTATAGTATTACTAAAACATTCTGTTTCCAATTGCGATTTAAAAGCAAAGTATTTCTGCCTGACTCTCTTGATAATATTACAGCATACCCGAACTAAAAAAGTTCCCTCACCAATGTTAGGAATTTGCAAAAATTGTGAACTGTTAACTTAATGCTTATCGAAAATTGAGAAAATTCATTGTGTAATCTTTAAAGTAATAATATAAGTAATAATCTAAGTAATAGTGTAATATGATGAATTAAACATCGCACCTTTTTGCAAAGAAAAAGCTTACAGTTGATTAAAGTAGAATTGTTTCTCTAAATGAATTTTGCTAATCTCTTGAAAATATTAAGTTTAATATAGAACTTTTGCTTTGTACATACCATTGGATGAACAAACGCTTGATGATCACTTAGCGTATTCTGTAAAAATTTCGGATGGACTTACTGTAAACAGTATCAGCATTAGGGGTTTCAGTACTTTTTACCGTAAAATCTATTTTTACCTTAGCGTCTTGTTACGGAACAAGAATTCTGATAAAATTATAATTATTTTGAAAACAATGAACCACTTTAATTAACAAAGTATTATTGTAAAAATTACTGTATAAAATTTTATTGTAAAGTGGGTTTTACAATCGCTGTGTACATAGTGCATAGTACTTTAAACCGCAATTTCATCCCGTATTTTCTATAGTTTGAAAAACTTTGATTTTTAAATTATTAAAAATACTAGAAAATTTGATTTAAGATTTAAGTAAAAATCCCGTGGATTATTATATATTTAATTTTTTTAATAATGAAATTTATCTGCCCAGCAAATACCGACATGTTCTGCTATTGATCGTCAATTCTGCTATTGATCGTCAAAGCATGTGTAACAAAATATGAATTATAAAATTGCTGACGAAAATATAATTAACATTTAAGTGTGTAAATCATAAAAGTGTAACGCATTCATATAAGTGTAACATCAATATATGTCTAACGTAGAAGTAAATGTAATGTAATGCGATTAAGAATAGTGCAATCACAGAATGTAAGAAAGTAGCAAACACATGAAGCGCAAAAAAAAAGAAAAAAATCGGAAACTAAATGCATTTAATTGTGCTTAAAAACACAAAAGTGTACTTATTAACTGAGTGCATATTTATGTACGCAAATTTATATAAACTGTTTATATAAGTATTTATATCCGTGTACAAATTAACTTAAATTTCTTTTGCATCTCTTTTCCTCCTCTGGAATATTTCCCAGACCGTCGCCAATAGCCCATTGTGCAGCTCTAGTGTGACGTAAAATTAACAACCAATCAATCAACTTTTGCATTATACAAGTAATAATGTAAAAAAAAATAATAGCTAAGCACATTATAGTTTACGCAAAATTCAAGTCAATAATTTTCACAAAATTACTTTTTTTACTTATTTTCAGTAAATATAATCCAGAGTTTTCAGTTTTTTTTATGATATATTTATGAAAAACATTTTACTGAAAGCAGATGTATGTTTTTTGTGGAATTGTTTTCTTCATCGATGTTTATTTTTAAGTTATGTTAACAATACACTTTTATCGACAACATTTTTTGTTCGGTAGATAATCCCTCGCTTCTTATGAAGGTATTACTTTTGAAATAATTCAGATGGCACAACACTGTGTTCTTTTATTCAAATTTGATGTCATTTATTCTTGAACGAGTATTAATTTTAATCCTAGGATAAAAATTGGATGTAAATTTATTTTTTCTTTTGTCAGCAAGTAAAAGAATTAGAACTTTTGATGAGTTTCCAAGAATATTTGGTTTTATGATGCTATTGTTAGTAACAACAAGAACTAAAAAGAATTATTATTTCAATAATCTTGTTTTTGTCCATATTTCAAAAAAAAAAAAAAAAATTAAATAACTACTAACGTTTTATTCCTTCAAATATATTTGAATATAAACTTATGAATGGCATATTCATGTAAGCATATTACAAGCCCTAATAACCCAGCACAGAGCATTGTGTATGATCCTAACGGATAGTACATGTGTCAGTAGCAGTTGCCAGAAACTCTATTCTAGAGGAAAATTAACAATACAGTTATATGACAATTCTGTATATAACACAGGGTATGAAATTTAGCAATAATATATTGAATTATGTGTGAAAAAGAGCATTAAAAAAGCTTAAAAATTATTATATAAGGGCTGTCCAAATGAAAAGTGTACTAGTCAAATGGAAAGAATCCTTCTAAAAATAAAATAAAAATCGCCATGGGTGTTGTAACACATGTCTCATTGTTTAGGTAGTAGGTCTATGTTTTAATTATAAGAAGATTGTGGTTGATTCTAGGAAAGTGTTCTGCATAGTTTCCTTCGTCTTCGGAATGGAAATGGGTTACCTCTTAAGTGGCTCAAAGATGTGGAAGTGACAGGGTGACAAATCCGGACTTTACAGAGGGCGTATCCACACTTCTAAACTGAAATTTTGTAAAGTCGTATGGGTTCATAGAAGATGTGTGGTCAGGCCTTGCGATAAAGAATGATAAGTTGTTGCTTGAGAAGGCCATGCGGTTTGCTTCTTATTGCTTTTAATAGTTTCGTCAGTGTACTGCAATATTGTATTGTATTAGTTGTGCTCCAGTGTGGCAGAAAATAATTGTTCCGATATGGAACCATTCATGTGTATACGTCTTTACTTTCAATCAGTTTCCTCTCCCACAAACAGCTTTCACTGTTGAACGTCGTATGCTGTGCACACCTCCAACCGTTCTTTATATCCCTACTCGGGGGTGCTACTTTAGCTGCAGTCATTCTGATCAATCGCAGTTGTCCACTTTTCATTTGGGGAATCCTTACATGATAATCCTATACAATAAGAAGATATGGAAGTAGAATAAAATGTGCACATTATAATGCTTGGATAGATGTTGTGATTGGCATTGCCTAAAAGTTTATTAAAAATTATGTGTTTAAAGATATTTAATTGGAACACTAAAAAACATGAAATATTCCCATGTATTTAAACAAAATTGAATCCATGGAAAATTAGTTACATAAATTAATACCCCAATAAAATCGAACTAAGTTTTTAAAATCATACGAAACACTCATTCACCCTTTGAGAATTAGAACATTTAATGGAAGTCAAAAGCAAAAGTTTACATTTGATATTATTTTTAAATTTCTACATCTAACGTGGAATACATTTTATACGCAAAAAAGGATTATTTTAAAGATCGTGCGTTTTTATAAGATGTATTTTGTCATTTTTTATCCGAAAGTTTGCCTGACAGCAAAAAAATTTTATAAATCAGTTTTGAGATTTTATAACCGTCGTTGAACAACCGATCCAATTTTGAGTTCACGGCTACCAATGTTCAACTCCATAGCCTTGTAATTGTTATCCTGATCTAGACGACAAGGGAACTTCTGGACCAAGCATTGGGAAAAATCTGCCTTAGTGGAGGATTTTTTCATGGAACTAACCCGCATTTGCGCTACATGGAGAGGGAAACCACGAAAACCTTCCAAGTTTAGCCTGAGGGCAAAGGAACTCTGACCCATGATCCGGCTTCCACTCAGGATATTTCAGGTCAGGACTATGGTCGGCTCAGGCCGGTCTGCGGTGTTCGTATCGACCAGGGATTCTAACCCGGTGCCCCTTTTTGAACTACCATGGTTCCCAATATTGGGATTTCATTTTATTTTATAACCGTTGTTGAACAGCCTACCCAAATTCAATTTTGAGATTGTAATATTTTCTATTTTTCCCAAAGCAGTCAAAATCATTTTGATAATTTTGAAATTTCCCTTCGTTTTTAGTGCCTCCAAAAAACTTAACTATCAAAGATGGTAAGAACAACACAGTATCTGGAGTCATTGGACCTTATGAAGAAGGTGCTACTATTAGTTTAGTGTGCGAAGCTACAGGAGGTAGTATTCTTTTACAAATGCCTTCTTTATTATTTTAAAGTGGCAATAAAGCAGATTTAATCAAAATTCAAATTCGAGATAAGATGTGCATTTTTCGTTTTTCCTAATCTTTCTGTTATATTTTTGGTTTAAAAGTCTTTTGACGTGAATGCTTCTAAAATAAAATTAGATAAATAAAATTTAAATCTGCCCACATTAATAACTTTAAATTGTTTACAGATTCATTACCTTTATGATCTACTTACTTATAAGTAACTTTTGCAAATGCTCTTGTAAATAATATTTAGAGTATATAATTATTTACTGATTGTAGGTAATTTATTGATATAGTTTTCAGAACTTCGGCAATGTCGTTTTAGTATTTCTTTGCAAATATTTTAATAAAACAAATAACGCCAAATGAAATCAAAAATTTAATTATTATTTTTTAATATAAAATTTTAAAATAAATCGAGCATAAAATGTTTATTAAATTTAAATTTAATAAATATTTTATGCTTGATGCATAAATTATTTTAAAAAGAACATATTAAAGACATGCTAAGTTATAAAATCAATAGGAGAATCTACTTTGTAAATGCACCATCTCTGTCATACATATAAAAGCAAAATGTTTAATATTACTCAACCGTTCTAATAATCTCATTATTAGAATGGTTGAGTTATATAAGAATATTTCTTCAAAGATTTCCTCAGAATTTTCTGATTTTTTTTACTTCAATAATTCTCTGTAGGAACGAAAATTTTATGAAATTCTTTACTTTTCATGAATGGAATTTAAGCTATGAAATAAATTTTTCTTCTTAGAACGAACGTACAGATGTAGATAGGAAAATTTTTTTGTCACAGAACATTTAGAAATTTCGTAAATTATTTTGGAAAGTTTCCAAACGAAAAACCTTTTAAAAGCTGTCGAACAAGTCTTGTTGTATCATTAGATAAAAAAGAACAAGTCAAGAATACAGATTGAAAATATTCCCTGGTCAAAGTAAATGGAAAGCATTTTTAAAAATGGAAAATTACATTTCATCATTTTTGAAATGAATTTGTTTTTATTTAAACTTGTCAAATCTCATGCACAGGTCCAAAGATTGGTGGTAGTAAAATATGTAACAAAACGCAGAAAAATTAAAAGAAAATTTCAGTATAATAATTAGTTTCAACTTTATATTAAATTGGTCATATTGCATACTTTAAATAATAGGTTATTTAAACATATTTCTGAGATAGAATGCATTTATAAGTTTTTTTTACACTACAAAGTTACAATATTAAAAATTTATTACAGTTACAATACAGTTATTATTTTTTGGGAAAAAATGTATTTCTAATAGCATTCAGAAAATGTTCAAAAATGTAACTACTGTATCGCTTTAAGTGGTAGTTTTTGACTGTTGATTTGCTATTTAAAGTTTTGAAACTTGATCTTCAAACTCTTGAGTTAACTTCAAAAAACCTTAATTTGTACCAGGAACTCTTTAAAAAAATTAAAATTTTATAATCAATTATTTAAAGTTTTTATTTATTCCTATTATTTATTTGTAATATTTTCTGACAATTTTATATTTCGTAATTTAAAGGTTTGCAATTATTTTTTAAAAAAATCCAAAAAATTTTATAGTTATAATTTTCATGCAATTTAGAGCAATCTAAACAATAATATATATTAATAACAATTATATGTAATATTGACAATTTAAAATTCCCTATCCTTACTAAATTCTATTTTTACTAAAAAATGAAAGATTATTGTTAGAATGAATACCTTTTACCCAGTGTATATCGAAAGAATTTTCTCAATTTATTAAAGAGGTCATCACTGATTATTGCATATCACTTGCTATTTCTCATGAAAACAGAAAAAAATGCAACATTAATAAAAAGTTGAATCGTTTTTATCAATTACATTGATAAATAATTAAATTAATTTTAGAAAAGTGATCTTTAAACTAGTCTATATAACAAACGAATTGCAAATTCGAAAAGGAGAATGAAGCCACGATTTAAGTGCAAATTTTTTTTTTAAATCATAAAATTAGTCTTAATGCAACTAGAATAAAAAGGAATGTATTGTAATGTATTGTGATTTTTGATAGCAAAAGGTAGTTCCCTGAAAAAGTTTGAGTTAAAGTATTTATGATATGCATGATTACTTTGTAGGTCGTCCAACACCAGCCTTAACGTGGTGGAAAGGATCAACACTTTTGGATGATTCTTATGTAACATTAGGGAGAGGATATGTAAAAAATGAGCTTGTATTGAAAAAATTACAAAGAGATGATCTTTTAGCCACATTGACTTGCCAAGCGTCGAATACGAATCTCACTGTTCCATCATCAATTTCAGTTACTATTGATTTAAGCTGTAAGTCCTTTAACTTAATTAATTTTAATTATTATTCTATTCACTTATCATAAAAAACTAAGTTATAGCTGAAAAGGTAATACAAATTTGAATTAAAACTGTATGCATATAATTTTAATTACGCAATGTGTAGTTATAGCTATATAAATTTTAGAATTTTGAAAATTTTTTAATAATTATACCTTAAGTAATAGAAGTTTCATAATTCATATCTGATTCGCCAACAGCCTCTTAACTGCACTGGGCCAAAAATATTTCTTATAATAAATAAGAATTAATAGTGTTACTCTTTACATAATAAAACAATGCCTGAAATCGTTTAATCTTCTTCTAAAAAATTTTTTTAGGTTCTTTTAATTTTTTTCTGATATGCACTTAGTTGGAAAATTTATTTATTCGAAAATAAAATTCTTGCATAAATCTGTCGTATTTTTTAAGGGAAAATTTTTGCCTATTAAAATATTTTTAAAAATGTTCGTTTTTGAAATATCTTGAAAATCATATTAAGAACAGAATTATAAACATGAGAGAATTTACAGAAATATAACCATGCCTAACTGAAGCAAAAATATTACATATGCATTAAATCTATGCTGTTTAAAGATCTTTGCTAAATGTAGTTTTCAATGTATAAATAGAAGATGCGAAAAGAAATAATATTTATTTATTTTTCATGGAATTTGTTACTTATGATTATGCATTTACATAATAGTAATATATTTAATCATTTTACAATAAATAAAAATTAAAAATAAAAATATTAATTTATTAATGTGTTCTTAAAATGTCTATCTCTAGTGTCTTCTCTAAAATAAAAGATGTATTTAATTTAGTTATATATACACTCAAATCAGGGTGTGACGTATGGTGTGGCAGAAGTCGAATTCTTGGCCATAGATGGCGCCATTGGAAAACAATAACAATCACACCCCCTCTGCCTAAACAGGCATACGTTAACAACAACAACATACAATCAAATCGAAGTTATTTCTGTCCTACTAATAATAATGTTATATTTCTTTTTAGTATCACCACAAGAAGTTCATATTTTAACACCTCGAAGACCTTTATCGTCTGGAGAAATTTTAGAAGTCGTCTGCCAGACTTTTGGATCTAGACCACCTGCGAGGTTAACCTGGTGGATAGGAAAGAATCCTTTGAATGAAAAATCGAAAGAAATCGTATCTGGAGATGGAAATTCTACCCTCAGTCGCATACAATTCCGTCCGAATCGAGAAGAACATGGAAAATTCTTAACGTGCAAGGCTCATAATCCGGAAACACCAGAAAGTGCCTTAGAGGATCGATGGGATTTAAATGTTCATTGTGAGTAGTTTATTTGTTCCAGATTTATTTCTATTTGTATTATTCTAACTATATATATATATATACTTGCATATTTTGACGATTTTTTTATATTTGTTCTAGCCTAGTCTTTTATTTTAAAAGTATATTTTTATGGGATTTAAATGTTTATTACGAGCAATTTATTATTTTTTTTTCAGGAAACATTCTTCTATTTGTAATATTCTGTTCATTTATTACAAAATTATATTTTTTATTTCTTATGAGCTTTAAATGTTTACTGTGAGAAATTTATTTTCCACGTTACATTAGCTGAGATTTTCAAAATAGTTATTAATTTTCAGAATTAAAATATTTATTGTGTGTTATTTATATTTTCGATATATTTTTTCCCATTTGTTCTATTCTATTCAATTACTAGAAAAATATATCTATTCTTTATGGGATTTGAATGTTCAAAATGAGAGAAATTTATTCATGGATATTTCATGGATGTTTTCTTCACTTTGTATGATTCTAGTTATTTATTATAAAAGTATATTTATTTTTATATGGAATTTAAATGTTCATTACGAGTAATTAACATTTCACAGACTTTTTCTTTTGTATTATTCTAGTCTTTTATTATAAAATTATATTTATTCTTTCTACTTTCGTTAAATGTTCACGGTGAGAAATTTATTTCTTCAAGCTGTATTATTTGATTCAAGACAAAACTATACACTTATTAATTTTTAGGGATTTAAATGTTCTTTGTTACATTAAACAATATTTAGGCCTTTATTGTGAATAATTTACTTTTTGTCTTTTTAATTGAGTCTTATTATTGAAATATATACTTAATACTTTTTTTTATGATTTTTAAGTAATAATAGGGAGTAATTATTTTTTTACGAATATTCTATATTCCAGTATTTTTTAAACCATATTGATTACTTTTAATAGAATTTAAATGTTTGTCAGTAATTTATTTGCACGTGAATTTTTTACTAGTTGTGTAATTCTATAGTAATTTATTATAGAAATATTTTTATGGGATTTAATTATTTATCGTGAATATTTTATTTTTTTCGCAATTTTTTTCTATTTATATTTTTTTAATATTTCGTTTAATAAAAGAAACTAAACTTGTCACTTTTGACGGATTTTAATTTTTTATTGCTAGTAATTTATATGCGCTCGAATATTTTATTATTTGATTTTTTTGAGTAATTTTCTTTAGAACTATGTTTTATTAACTTTATGCGTAAAGTCCTATAAGTTATGGATTGAGTTAAGTTGTTAAAAAGATTCCTAAAATTGAAAATAACTCTAATACGTATATTTTTTTTAAATGAATCTAAACACATATGTATTTAGGATGTATATATAGAATATCTTGTATACATTAGAGTGTTATTTTATGCTTTTATTAAATCTCCTATTTTTTCTTTCAGTTGCACCTCAACTGTCTTTAGCTCTCGGTGCAAGCCAGTTGTATGAATACATCAGAGAAGGCAGTGATGTATATTTTGATTGTAACATACAAGCTAATCCTCCTGTTACTAGTGTTTCTTGGACTCTTAACACAATGTCTCTCGAGAATCAGCCTGCTGTTGGGATAATCGTTAGAAATCATTCCTTGCTTTTGCAAAATGTAGGAAAGAGGCACCGTGGCAAATATAGATGCTATGCATCAAATGCTGAAGGTGATGGTGTCAGTGAAGAAGCGTTGCTAATTATACAATGTACGTATAGGTTTATTCTTTTAGCACTTCATTAAAAACGCTCACATTTTTTATCTGTGAGTTTGTTATATTTATTTATAAGAAGTATGTAGTGTCTTTCGAATTTAAATTTAATCTTTAAATTTATATATATATATATATATATATATACATATATATATATTTACATAACTGATTTTCTGTCAGTGTATCTTATAAATTTTTCATGTAATCCGAAAAATATACCATTTTTTACACTGAAGAAAACTGGAAAATATAGTTATAAATTACACCTGGAACAACATTTTTAAGCTAAATTTATCATTTTCTTTTTATAGACGCCAATTCATGGAGTAATAATTTGTATGCTTGGAAACAATTAATTAAACCTTTTTTTCTTCGAAACGGAAAGATGACTCCCTTTTAAAACATTTGGTCTACATTAAAAAAAATAGAAGGTATTTTTTAGGGATATAAACACGTATAACAAACATAGTTAAAAATAATCTTGAGGAGCAAAGTAAACTTTATTATTAGGCTAAGAAGCAATATAATCGATCGACTTTATATTATCGTCTTATGCTATTAAATATATCAATATAGCAGTAGTTATTTCACTGAGAAAAAAATACGGTCTGATTTATCAGAATATGGAAAATTTACCGTACTTTTGGCTATATGAGAACATCAAAATGCTCGATAATTTTTGTCGAAGAGCTTCTATGATTATTTAAATAATATTAATAATCTAATAATATGTAATAAAATTTGATATTTTACAGCAGTGTGCAAAAACTATTTATTATGTTAAATTTACTTCCCAGCTTTTTAATTTCGTGAAAATAAAAACTACCATTTTGAAAACCAGAATATCTGTAAATCATTGCCATACAGTAGCTATGATTTTAACCGGAATTCGATTAACCGTTCTAAACACTAGCTGTCTAATTGACTTGCCTTTTGCGCCTGCCGCTCGAGCTTTAGAGTTTTCATAGTCTACTAAAATGTAATGCCTCCGGCACATGTAGGCTAAAACACTATGAGTAAGGAAATCCAGCAGCAGATTCCATAACACAATGAAAGAATTCTAAAATTTATCAGCAAAGCGGGCGGTAAAATATGTGCATTCAAAGGATGAAATTCAGTAGGTTCATACACGACACAGTACCGGCAATACTAACGGTCAATGACACTGCTAGTTAAGGGTTAAAGGTGCACATTTCTATAATAAGAAATTTCATAATATGTGTTCATTATATCTACTATTTGTAGCGGCTTCAGTTTAATATTTTATTTATAGATTTGAATATTTAATTTCTGCGTGCAATCATTTATTATTTCCATTTTAGTCTCACCAGTATGCATATCAAATTTAAAGCGAACTTATGCTGTTGGTAAATATGAAGAAGTCAACGTCACGTGTGAAGTAGAAGCTGATCCCGAAGACGTAGAATTTAGATGGATATTCAATAACACATCTGAAATGACTGATGTGCTGTCTTACACATCCGAATCTACTCGTAGCATCGCTTCTTACACACCCAAATCACGAATGGAATATGGTACACTCAGTTGCTGGGCGAAAAACAGTGTTGGAAAACAAAGGCATCCTTGCGTGTTTCTAATCATGCCCTTAGGTAAAGAATATCTTTATTCTCACTTAATTCAGTTTATTTAAAATGTTCATTCACCTTGTTCATTTTAAATACTTCCTACCGTATTTTGTTAACATTAAATTTTTTTTAATTAAAAGATTTTGGGAAAATTAGGAATTTTTTACTATTTTTTGTTAGAGCCGTGGTAACTCAGAGGATAGAGCGTTTGCCTCTCAATGATGTGGCCCAGGTTCTCCAGCAGGGACTGGTTGATATGAATTCTCTCCCAGATCACACTGACTACAGTGCTGGCTTAAAATATCCTCAGTGCTAGACGGCTTATGAGTTAAAACTCCCTTGCAGTCAAGCTGAACCTGGGTGATTTTCGTGGCACTCCTGTCCGTATAAAGCAAATACAAGTTAGTTCCATTAAAAAAGTTTTCCACAAAAGCTAGTTTGTCCCAAGGTTTTATCTAGGTGTTCCCGGGTTCATAATTACAAAGGGTATTGAGTTAATCATTGATCGCTATTCCCGCTTGTTATAAAATAAAGTCTTCGATTAAGAGTTTAGTAAGTAGTTCTTTTACGTGTTTAGAAAAGTACTCACAATGCACGTGCTCACATTGCAAATTAATAGTTAAGTGTTAACACGCTCAAGAGTGAAATAAAAATAATGATAATTAATAATAATTAATTTTAAGGTGAATAAAGTCATGAAGAAAATAAAAATGAGGTAATACTCCTAATACCATAAGAAAAAGTAACTGATAAAATATTTAAAAAAGCATTATCACATCTCAATTTAAGGTTAAATCGTTCTTTATCGGAGGAAATTTTGCATCAAAATATAATCATATGATACACTTTCCATTTTTATTTTATCTCCCAAACGAAATTACGATGAACTATCATATTCTTCTCAGTGATGGTACTTTCTAGGAGAATATTTTTTATGAAAGCCAATAGCCAAGGTTTCTTTGCAAATTCTGCTAAGGCAAAATTACTGAAAAAATTTCATTCTATCTTCTAAATCCTTTGCTTTTGCAAGTCATTAATTGCAGAGACTTAATAATTACATATTTTTTCACTTTATTTGTCATATAAAACTTATTTTCTTTACTAGGACCTCAAAAACCTATATTCGAATTACTAACTTTATATTTTTTCTATAATTTGTGGAAAATTGACAATGAATTTTAAATTTTTTCTAGACCAGGCAGATTAGTAATTGGTGATTCTAGAAATTTTCAATTTTTCTAAAAACTCCAGCATAAATTCGTACTTTTTTTCAGTAAATATTCCTATTTTTTATTTCAGTAAATATTCCTATAATTATTGACACTATGTTTAGTTTTTGTTTCCCTTATAATGTTCTATTATACGTACATTGTTATGTAAGTTTTTTTGAAATTAATAGTTTTATTTTCTTCTAAAATAGCAAATGTTTTGGTTTTTTTTTTTAAAAAAAAGGTAAAATCCATTGAAAATATGCTAGTTTAGTTATAGTTGCAATTATGTGCATACTCTGTAGAAAAAAACTCGGACAAAGGCTGACAGAAAATTTGTAATTGTTTTTAAAGCATCCTTTTTTATTATTACTAAAATATTATAGATGATACACCAGTTTTTCAAGTCTTTTAAAACCCATTTACGATTACGACCTTAAACGTAATTATAAAATGTTGTTCAATAGATTTTCAAAACATAAAAACCAAGTAATTATAATAAAAATTAGCTGCTTTGTGCCAAAAACGAAGACAAAAACAATTACTTATTTGTAAAACTATACATTTTTAATGTTAATGAAAAAGCAGACATTAAGAATGCTCTATTTTATTTCTGAAGTATGTCCTTAATGCCCCATAATTTTCTAAAAAAAGCTTTATAAGTTGTCATTTTTAAGACATATTTCACCCATGCTGCTCTTTTAGGTATCAAATTTTATCAATGGAAATAAATTTTTACGTCAGAATGAAAAGAATTTTAAAGAAATTTACGTTTTCTTTGGAAAAGAAAACGTCAAAACATCCATTATATACATTCTGTTTGTAGCATTTTCTATTCAACTACTAACGGTTTCCATTTCAATCCATAAAATATCAGAGTTCTTAAAGGAAATCTATACAAAATGAAACACCCCTAGGTTTTTGGAGACTGCAATATCTTTGAGTTGTATTTACCATTTTGGGTAAAATTACATGTTTCACATTTTGTATTTAACTTGTTTCAGATAGAGGCCTTCATCAAACATATATATATATATGTATATACAGCATTCCATACATAATTCATTAGCAATATGTTTCCATCAGAGTTTTTGTCAATCTTAAATCGGAGGAATCTTTCATTGAGTTACTAAAATGGAATGATATTGCAGTCTATTTTAAATCTTGATACGACTTAGTCATAATATTTTTGTTATATTTTAATTTATTTAGGGAATACTAAACTGCGCAATGTCAAAAAATAAAATTCAATTTCAAAGCATCTTAATTGGATATCTTGTAATGTTAATAGTTCCTTTAACTATTGCAAATTTAAAGGAGAGCAGTGAGCACTCAGAAGGGAGAGCGCTTGTCTTCCAATGATGTGACTGGAGTTTGAATATGCCAGCAATGGGTGGTTGATACGAATTCTGCACCAGGCTCGCGCCGACCACAGTGCTGACGTGAAATATCCTGAGTGGACGACGGATAATTGGGTAGAGTCCCTCTTGCCCCTTTTGATTCCATCAAAAAGTCCCCCACAGAGGCAGATTTAACTCAACACCTGAGGAAAATAAAATGCCCATATCTTCATGAATATTTTAGTTAGGTATACGAAATTGTACGCAGTTATTGAATATTTTAATCAAAAGCTTATTGATTAATTTTTTGGCATTGGATATTCAAAAGTAATAGTTTTTGTTCGTAATTCTCGGTCCTTGAAAACAACTAAACGATTCAAACTTAATTGATATGTATGAGAGATTGTACAACGTGAAAAATTATATAATAATTACGCTATAAAATAATTATCTAATAATATTAATACTAATAATATTAATACTAATAATACAAGTATTTCTTGAGAAATTAAAACAAAAAATGCCGAAATCTGAAAATTTCTCGTTTATTATTGTAAGGTAGTGTATATTGAGTGTAGGTGAATTAGCGAAATGTGCATGTTAGAGCAGCAATCAATTAGCTTTTGTTAAATTAAACACGAATATGATTTACTGATTGAAGCATAATATATTTGTTTCTCATGAATTTTCTCTTGTTATAGGAGATGAAACAGCAATTACAATTAGTACGATTTTAGCTGTCCTCATTGGTGTCGTTGCTGCCCTTGTAGTTATTGCCATTATCATCATTTTAGTTTTAAAATCACGAAATGGAAGTGATAGCTCAGGTAAGACCCATGCGTTTAAACAAATAAATTAATTTCAAGTCCTATTTTTTAATTAACATTTTTGATCACTTACCCTGATAACGTCTAAATGAGCTTTGTGTTTAGAAGTATTAGGTGAAATCTGTATCTGCCATTAGCATTTAATTATTTGACGCGTTTTATAGATGCATTTTTTAATGTGCAAAAGTTGACATTTTGTGCTAATTTGAACTCAAATATCTATCTATCAATAAATAATGTATATTGAATGATATCAGCAATAATTGATAAAATTATTAAATCTGTCTCAATATGCAGTATATATTGCAATTAAATTTAAAAGAATTTATAATTACGATAAGATCTTTTGCTTTCGTGCAATTCTTTGGGGCTAAATGTCTTCAATGTTAATATAGCACTAAATGTTCTCACAAAAGAAACTGAAACTGAATTAAACTAAATATGGAATTCCTACAATTCAGAAAGAAATGGGGTTTGATACAATAAATAAGTCAAGATTAACAAATTGTTGCTGTTAATAAAATAAAATAAAAAACAAGCTTTTAAGTTGATAGGTTTTAGTATGTGCCACATTGACGACGACATATCACATCCGTAAAATTGTTCTTTGGCTTATTGAATCATCTATATTATACAGACTCTAAAGTGCATTAAAATAAGTCTGATTCATACAAACTATATATAAAGAGAATTAGGCTGTTTCGAAGGAAAATGTAAATAAAATTTCGCTTTGAATTTAGCATTCATTTGGAAATAACTCAAAATTTTTATCTCCATACTTTTATCGACTTGAGTGCAAAATCGAAAACATAAAAAGTATCTACAGTTATTTATATTGGGATATTCCTTTTCACATAATTTAATAGACGGGCCAAGATTCCTTTTGACATGATTTAGGATATTTTCATTTAATTTCGAAAGTTATAAGAGTTAGAAAAAGCGCACAAATATCACTTTTGCCTTCATATACGCAATCTGCGTAAAATATTTTCAATAGAAACAATATTAAATATTCTTATGATAGACAATTATGAAAGACTACTTTTTTACACTTTTCTTATTTTTATCTAAATTGTTATATTTATTTTTTTGAAATTCCATGTAATTCACGATTTTCTTTTTAATTTGTATAATTCTTTGAAAGCAAACCTCGAAATATTTTGTCTTTAAACACTAATTAACGTTTCCTTTCTTTCTTTAGCGGATGGAGGAAGTCCAAAGAAGTAAGTATTATTAAAAATAAATATTCATGATTTCATTCATATTTACGATACTCAAAATACCATTCAGTTGCCGTAAGAAGAAAATTGAAATTCAAATCTTAAATAGTTCCGTTAAATAAAATAAGGGTGAAAATTAAGAGGCATTTGAATAAGTTTCGCTCTAAAGAGTTTTTCTCAACAGAAATATATCTTCTGGTCCTACCTTACTATTTGAAAGTAATAATTTTTATGATGGTGGCAGTACTAAGAAAAAGACTGATCACTGATCTCCCGTGGAAAGAAATAATCTCTAAAATATTTAAAAAAAAACTTAAGTCATCGTGTGTAATTTTATAATATAATATTATAAAATCAGACACTATGCCCACATATTATTTGCTCTACTTATTCATAAAATAATATTCGTAAAATATAGTTCTACGCATTTGATATTTTTAACCCCATTAAATATCTTCTTACAATATTAAAATATTAATCGTCGTGCTTTTCCTTAGATCGTAAAAATGTATACCAATTTTCGAAATTATAAAATATAACCCTTTTATCGTTGTACTGGAAAAAATGCGTTTATTAATGAGTCTAATATTGTAAATCAAGCTTCATATTATTTATTAATGATTAATGTAACTTTAAAATTTTATTTTTAAATATTTTTTATGAAATTTTAAAGCAAAAAATATTATTAAACATATTTATGGACAGTGGAAATCTTAAACGTTAATAATGCTTTGGTTAAATATATACGTCAGTATAATTGTTTTAGTTTATTTTTTATACTTTAGAAACAGTTTCCGAACTATATGATCTGCATGTTTATACTTTTAGAGCGCAAACTCCAACACTGAAGCATTTAGAAGATGACAGCCCAGATGTGATACCATCAAAGCCATTTTGCACTGGTAAGATGCTGAGATATTTTTGTCATACGAACGCAACTTGAAACTAATTATAATACTATCTGCTGATGAAATTCGATTTTTTAAGAAAGAGTTATTACATCATATTTTAATTGAAACATCAATTTAATCACATGGCAACAATTTTAGTTTAATATCTGCATTTTAGGCTTTGAGATTCAGCATTTAAAACTCAACAATTCATATTCATGCGCTTTTTAAACCATAATATTTTAAACCATATTTTTTTAATATTTTGTTTACCGGTCTTATTTATTACAGCAATCGATTTTTAATTGGAATGAATAATTCTATTAAATACTATGTTTAATGATGAACTTAATTAACTATTTATGTTTAGTCATTATATTGTGGTGTCTAAAATTTATTTATTTTCCTTACTCCATTTGAAAGAAAAGGCAATAAATGACATGCGTATAGATTCATCTGCTTATTTTAAGTTTGGTATCATTTTAATATGAAACTATTTTCACTTCCAAGTCTATGTAATGGAAAAGTTAGTTTTAAACTTTATTTAATAACTTTTTGTTGTTTGAATAATTTAACTCTTGATATAGTTCACATACATTTCAATAAATCTCATCGATCAAACAAGCAATCTTAAAAACAACCGGTGATTTAAATAATCAATTAACGAAAAGCAAGTATGAAAGGAAAAGCATTTTATCTGCATGCTACAAAGTAAACAAAATTATAATTATCAATAAATTTTAAAATTATTGAAATGGGTTTTCGACAGTAAATCTATCTATCTATCTATCTATCTATATATATATATATATATATATATAAATANATATATATATTTCAAATTAATGACGAAACAATCTATTGCAGTTTTTACAATTGCAGCAAATAATTCTCTCGGAATGATATAATATACACCGTAAACTATTTTTCCTTATTATATTCTAACTACAACGCTATTTGTTTACAAGCTTTGCATCAACTATTAAAAGAAGTTAGAATGAAATAGTGTTTTGTTAGTAATTCCTGACATTTCGTCTTCTTTCAGTTTCGCTTTAATTAAAACTTCAAGTTGTAAATCACTTTTGGATTGTCAGATGCATAAAATAAGGTGGCTTTTGGAATTTAAATAATCCGTTACGTTAATTTACAGATTGGATTAATTTGTTGATTGACTGATTTCCGTACATTGGTACATTTAGAGATAATTCATGTTACACAATAAAAGTTGCTTTTATAATATAATGAGCGTTTTAATGAAAAATAATGCTTTCTTTGCAAAAAAAACTTTTTTTAATTTCAGATTATTCAAGTAAAGCTGCGCATGCGAGCTCTGACGTAATTTATAAGAATATTTCTGGTGAAGATCACAAGTACACAAGCATAATGAATAGTGTCCATTTAAACGTAAGCATTGTTGTCTTCTTTACTCAAATTGCAAATTCAAAGTCGTAGTTATAACACATGGGAATTTGAAATGTTTTTGCGCTATAAAATATTCATTTGACAGTTAAACAATAGACTGATATTCCATTGTTCATTGTCTTCATTGGCATTCAAAATATGCATTTTCTACTGACTTTTTATTAAAAAATAAATATTTATCGTCTAATAGGACTGGACAATTAGTAAATATTGGACACAAAATATCTTTACACGCTGTTTCAACAGGTAAAAAAGTATGTGTTTTTCTGTAAGCTTGTAAATTTGTTTTCCGATTTCAACTGAATTTTAGGACATATTGACCTTTTTTTTTATCATGGCTTTTTTCCACTTTTTTTAAAAAATTCTGAAATTAATTTGATAAATTTATTAATCAGCATATTTCAATAATTTCGATGGAATTAATCTGTATTTTTTAACTGAATGTTTGCATTGTTTTTGCAGCATTACGATGGCATTACATACGCTGAATTAGCTCTCCCAGAGAATCAGCAGTCATTTGTAAGGCGTCATCTGGATCCACCGACACAGTACGCAGATATAGATTTTCATACCAGTAGGGGAACTTTTCCAGGCACGACAGTTATTGGAAATGAAGGAGATTCCAGTTGTAATCCACTTGTTTTACCCCCACACCCACTTTCCATGGTAATCATTTTTATCCTTTTTTTTTTAAGTTGCTTTTCATTTATACTGTAATCACTGTCTCCACTTAGATTCTCTCCCCGAAATCAACTTTCTTTTTTCTCACAGTCTACTTCATTATCCAGAGTCCCAATTACCTATTTTAATCACCATTGAAATCTGCATTTGCTTGATATCATTTCTTATTTATTTATTGAATTAAGGTTTTCTCGTTTTCTTTATTAATTACAAATAAAAAATATTTATTTTCTTGCACTGTTTCTTCCGTCATTAAGGTTATATAACAGGGGTGGCCAAGCTCCTTGATAATCGAGCCATTTTTCAAAATTTGACATTTTTCGTGAGCCGCAATTAAAAACGTATTTAAAAGGTATGCAAAAATGGTATTAAATTTCTTTCACAGAAATTATATTTATTGAAAACATAAAAATAAAAGTATAAAACATGTGTATTGAATTTAAATATTAAAAATTAAACACATTTGTTTTACTTCCTGATAATTCTTTAAAATTTGGTGAATAATTGGTGAAAACACTTAGCACTCAATAATTGTTCAGTAGAAGGCACTCAGTAATTCTTTGAGATGCTGGTTAGTTAAGACAGATCGGTGTTTGGATTTCACGAATTTTAAAGTGGAATAAAATTATTCACATAAATACGTTGTTTGTTCCGAATATTGAAATAATTCGACAAGCGTCTTTTTTTTAATTCATGATACTTCGATTCTGGTACAAATTTCCAAAATTTGGAATATACGGAACGATAGTAATTTTTTGAAATATAATAGTACAAAAATGAAAAGGGAACTCGGGTACATTTATCGAAAGCGGCAAACAATCCTTCAAAGAGCCGCATGTGGCTCGTGAGCCGCATGTTGGCCACCCCTGTTATATAACAATGCCACGTATTTAATATGTTGTGCAGTGAAAAATGGTATTGGTAATTCATATATTATTCCTAACTTTCACTGGATAGGTAACACTTTTTGATTGCACAAAGAATTGAATATTTTGTAGAACTACAATTTTTTAATGGCTAACAGAGTTCTTAAAAATGAATAAAGAATAATTTACTGTAATTGACTTAATTTTTATTTTACATAGAGTAGATTATTCAAATCAGTAACGAAAACGAACGTTTAAAAATATTTAAGACATTTTGCTTAAAAATATACATTAAAAAGGAAAATGTATACTAAATTTTTTTAATTTCTTTCGAAGCATTCTCCATCATAGGAGAACGAAATACATAAACATTCCATCAATAAATGGAATTTGTCATCCAGATTTGTAAATTTTAACGCAGTTATATATTATCAATTCACATCATGTCGATACTAATATGCATTTAATTAACATCTCAGGCTGTTTCGTTCCGGATTAAAATATCTTTTATGATTGCGTATTTAATCTAATTACTTCCCGGATTTGTTAATATTACTCTTATTGTAATAAAGTAAAATAATAATGTATTCGTTAATTTTTACTGGCTTATAAATTAGAAAGAAAATAGTTTAAATATTAAATAATAAAGTTAATTACAATTTTTTAAGTATTTTAATCACGATGAAAATAGTGTAGATACCCCATTTTAATAAGACTCTCACCCATGATCCTTAAACAACAGGTAGTATTATTACAGGTATATTTCCATTAGAAGTGTTCGTGAGAGCCAAGAGAAATCCGGATGCGAAACTATAGTTATCCTAGTGAAAGTGAATTATTTATCTCCTTAGCCATATAGGCTCTGGCAAACTGTAGCTTACAAGCAACATGTGATATTTCTGCAAATCGAGAGTGGTTGGTATTTAAGTGCAGGCTAGCAAGGCCTATAGACCTGGTCTAATTTCTAAATTCGCCTACATATGAGGGTCGCTGAATACAAGTGTTATATATTTAAAGAACATTAAAAGTTTTATGCTTAGAAGTCTTCTGTCCATATTTCTAGGTTCACAAGATAGGCGATTAAATGCTTCCATGTGAGATAATTCGGTTTGGTTTGAAAGTGCAGGGTCCGGCAGTTTTGTAAAGAAGATTGATATACTTGATCGCAAAGACATAAAAAGGTAATTCATTGTTTTCTTAATAAAAAAATACGTTTTGATTTCTTAACATTTTGTATGATTTTATATGATATAATAAATTTGAATTATTAAAATAGATTGATTGGGATATGTGTCTTAAATTATAAATACAGCATTTTATTTCGGTTGCGGCTTATTTCGCAAAGTTGCCTTTAACGACTTCAGGACCCTATAATAATTCATATAATCAACTTCAGATAATCGACTTCAGGATCATATAATAATTAACGCCTAACGAGATTTACTGTGATAACGAGATTCTCGATCATAGTATCATAGATAAATGTGGTCCAAGAATAATATATTGGCGTGTTTTCAATTAGATACGTATAACAACTTGAACTGGTTCGTATAAAATTGGATTTTCCAAGCTTGGGGAAGCGCATCTCTCTTCTTCTGATGGTCCTGAAGGGGTTAAAGCAATAGTTTCGAGAAAAGAAGAGTTTAAACAGATGAATAAAGGCAATAAAGTGAATGATTCATAACAGAACTAAAATTTTTTTTTAAAACTTAAAATAAAATTTTAGGAATATAATTTATTTTATAATGTTTCAGACTATATTTATGTCAGACTATTTTTTTTACGTAAAACTTAGTGCAGGTCTACTTTTCTTACGAATCCCAAAAAGTTAATAATTAATAAGTGATGGGTGTTGATAAACTAAGCGAAATTATCCGTAGAACTGAAAAGATATATTGACATAATTAAGAAACTTAGAAAATTTTATTTGTAATTTACTATCTTTTTCCATTCCCGATGGCATTAATTTATAAGACTAAGACCTTTTCAGAAGCTCATCCTATCAAATCAATTTAGAAGCTTCGATATTATGCTGTTACTAGAGGGTACAATTTACCACAATCAAGTGATTTTCTCTGGTACTAATTCTTTTCAGGCAGAGGGGCGTAAGAAACTTGTTATCACAGTACTTAAGTTTACTCAATAATATTACAACAACTTGTTCGTCAACATGAACATCCCAAATATTGACAGCGTATATCATAGCTGAGTCTTAGAAAATAGATAATATTTGTATTCCAAAACATAGTCAATAACTTAATGAGAACTATCTTAGTTAATTTTCAAAGCCGCTGCTTCTCCTTTTCTGTAAGAAAATTGTAACTCCCAAAAGGATTTATAAATATTTAGCCGTTAAAGAATATATTATACATTAAATTTATAAATTTAAAAAGAAACATATTTCATTTCAAATATGTAATTGCACATAAAATTTCAAAATATTTAATTTTTTTGAAAATGATTTCTTTTCCTTATTTTCTTTCAAAAAATGATTTCTTTCGATATTTTTGTTACGAACGCTGTACTTTTTCCCAAGCAATTTAACGAAAAGTCAAGAAAAACTGAGAGGCACAAGTAAGAGTACACTGTAATTTTACTCTCGTTACAAGCAACGAAGCTAAAAGTATTTCCACATATGCACTCTAATAACTTTGATATTTACAAAATATCTTTTTTTTAGTTTCTACCTTTATTTGACAAGAACCGCGTGATCGAAAATTTAGGATTTCTATCCTTGCTGCAAATTTTTATTTTCATATTGGGATTGTTATAAATCTTAATACCCCACAATTACAAAATATCAGTAGAAAATTTAAGTTTTTTATTTAGCTTATAATAAATACATGTTCAAAATTTAAGGCTTCTATCTTGGTAAAAACGTGATATTTAAGATTACTATTAATTAGGCTAATTTTCCCAAAAATTAACAAAATATCGAAACGAAGCTTTTTTTTAATTTTTCTTTTTATATGATAAGGAGAATGTGGTCGACAATTGAGACTTCTGTCACAATAGCGAACTTTTATTTAGCATAACTTTCAATTCAGGTAATTAATCCTTAATTACACCCAACAACTACAAAATATCGAAACTACTACGAAATAACATATAGTTTAAATTTGAAATTTCTATTTTAATAAAACGTGTAATTTAGCATTACTGTCGACTGGGCTATATGTCCTCTAAATACCTAAATATTTACAAAATATCTAAATGAAACTTTTTTTAAGTTTTTCTTTTAATCTCAGAAAGAACAAATGTTGCCAATTTTAGTTTTCCAATTCCGTGGGGAAATGAGAGAATTAGTTATGAGGGAATAAGTGAATGAATAAGAGCCTTGCCTCTTAAGCAGATTGTTACTATCTTATTTCAATATATAGAGATTGCTTACTATCTTATTTCAATGTATTCAAAACTAATTTGTTGATTAGAAACATGGTATCAAGCATGGACCAAACCGGAATATTCAATGGCAAATTCAATGCTAACGAATAACATACCCACATCTCATTATTTAACTCTTTAACGGGCCTTTTATTTCTAGTAAAGATACATTAAAATACTTTTGGAATTGAAATTGTTTTAAGAACAGTAATTGATACAAAAAAAACTCACTTAGTTTATAAAAATGCAATTTTTTTGGTTTTAAATCTGTTTAACATGACCTATTAGGAACTTACTGACTTTTATTTTTACTTATTTTTACTTTATTATAACTTTTATACGTTTTTTAAAAGTGACAAATGGTTACCAATTTTATTCAAACTCACTTCAAGAAAGCTGAAGTTATTGAGAAATAGAAACCTAAATTAAAAGTAGTAAAAAGTGGTGGTAAGTATACTTACCACGGCTTTCAAAAGGGTTAAAATAACACGCTTGTGAAAGTTCGTATAGAGATACGTCGTCGATATGAGGCATATGTTGCAGCTGAACTTCAACAATTCGAACAGCATCTTTTTATTTAACAAAAATATTGTGCTAACTCGTTTGAGGTAATAAATAACCACTGGGACCTGTCAAGCATATTTCAATCTCTCGCTTTGTGGGAACGAAACCTGCTTTCATTGTGTTCGCGGCCATGTATACTTACATGCTTTTCTTTAAAAGTAGTTGTGAACCATTTTGTACTTTAGAACTTATCCTTATTTATTTAAAAATTTCAATTTGTTTTGAACACAACGTGCCTGACCACTCGGTATTTAAAGAAGAAACTTTTTTTTTCTTTTCTCCCAGACGTGGACACGTAGTTTGTAAAGCCCTTAACAGTATAGTCCACGTCTGGCCGACAGTCTAGCTCGCACAATACACAGCACATAAGCAAACAATTACAAAATTCCTAACTACACCACAAATACAAATCACAATTGTGTTATGCAGATGACAATAATGTGTAACACATTAGTTCATAAAAAATAAATAAATAAGTAAAAAAATGAAGCAACAAATGAAGCAAGAACAACAGTGAGTACACCAGTACATATAGGTGAACAGCGAACAGCAAATCGATATGAAAAACAGAATATGTAGTTGTTGACAAGAAGAAACGTATTTTTTCTTTTTTAAAATTTTCGTTGTGTCAAATTTTGAAGAATAATATAAAAAAGAGAAAAGAAAATTGAAAAGTTCTTCAAAAGTCTAAAAAGTTATGGAAAAAAGTTTTTTTTTTCTAAAGTTTTTTAAGGTTTCATGAAGATCAAAATTTTGTAGGAAAACATTTATAATGTAAATGTATCTAGCTGTCGATGAATTTCCTTCTTAGCGAATNATGCTTTTCTTTAAAAGTAGTTGTGAACCATTTTGTACTTTAGAACTTATCCTTATTTATTTAAAAATTTCAATTTGTTTTGAACACAACGTGCCTGACCACTCGGTATTTAAAGAAGAAACTTTTTTTTTCTTTTCTCCCAGACGTGGACACGTACCTAGGTTTGTAAAACCCTTAACCGTATAGTCCGCGTCTGGCCGACAGTCTAGCTCGCACAATACACAGCACATAAGCAAACAATTACAAAATTCCTAACTACACCACAAATACAAATCACAATTGTGTTATGCAGATGACAATAATGTGTAACACATTAGTTAATAAAAAATAAATAAATAAGTAAAAAAATGAAACAACAAATGAAGCAAGAACAACAGTGAGTACACTAGTACATATAGGTGAACAGCGACCAGCAAATGGATATGAAAAACAGAATATATAGTTGTTGAGAAGAAGAAACGTATTTTTTCTTTTTCAAAATTTTCGTTGTGTCAAATTTATAAGAATAATATAAAAAAGAGAAAAGAAAATTGAAAAGTTTTTCAAAAGTCTAAAAAGTTATGGAAAAAAGTTTTTTTTTTCTAAAGTTTTTTAAGGTTTCATGAAGATTAAAATTTTGTAGGAAAACATTTATAATGTAAATGTATCTAGCTGTCGATGAATTTCCTTCTTAGCGAATGTAGTATTTGTTGGTATGTCGGACAGTCTGAGACGAAGGCTGAATGATCAGAGTTGTAGTTGGTACCTTTGTACGTGTTTGAGTGCCAACAGTTAATGCAATAGCACTCATCGCAATTGCATTCATGGGTGTGATGATTTCCGCCTCAATTTGCACAGGTTGCAGAATCAGCCGTGCACTGGTTCGTATGGTGATCCAGGCCTGGACACCACTGGCACCGTCTGAGAACTATGCGTTTCTTGATGATACACTTATTAAGACCAATGAAGATATTCTTCATTTTCAGAAGATGGGTAGCTAGTCTATGCGATACATTTACTACGATGTGTTTAACGATTTAAAGAAGAAACTAGCAGCTCATTAGATATTTTTTCATCTCTTAATTTATTTACGCAGGATTAATTGTATACTTTTTTTGCAGGCAGGCATTTTATTGTTCTAGTACAGGGACGTTTTCGTTTAAAGACGAAAGGTTGGATAGAACAACTGTAACTGCAAGATGATGAGTAATTTGTAAAGAACTCTGAATTGTATTGGAAAACTAAGAAAGTTGGGAATTAATCTGCAAATGTATTAAATATTTGTGTGATATGTTACTTTCATAAATTTTTCTCACTGTTATACTAATCTGTAAAGATCACATCTAAGTAAATATACCAAGTGTATACATTTGAATTGCGACGACACTGTTAACAAATTTCACTTTCTTGTTAAGATTTACATTTTCGATTGTTATACTATTGTTATAAATGGAAATAAATGTTTACTTTTATATCGAAGTCTGTTTCTCTTGAAAATATATTTTTTTAAATTTTCAGAATTATTTTTTTTGAAAAAGACAATAGAATTTAAATATAACGACTGTTCTCATAATAAAATTTCACTGAAGTGGGTTTCTACTCCTGTTTTTAATTGGAATCATTGTTTAATATGTATCCGAGTTTAATTGAAATATCATCGACAAAACTCCTCAAAAGTATAATACTACATAACAGAAATTTCCCCTCAATCTTAACTATAATATTGACTGTTACTTAAATCTCAATATTATTACGAATTAACAGAAAGTTTACTCGAATAAAACATATCAGTGTGGTAGTATTCAGATTTTAACAATACACAAGGACATGAATTTTTTGATAGTAAATGTCTTTCGATGGCCAAAAGGTCAGATATAGCCGGTTCAATTTTCTATGGCCTGCTTTAAGGTTTTGTCAATTTTTTTACTCCTTGGTATACCCGCCACTTAGCCGCTCCATATTGATCGTTTTTAAAATGAAAGCTTAAAAATAAAAAAGACAAGCAATACAACTACGGCAAAATAATAGCCAGGAGAAATGATAGTAAACTACTGAAAATAAAAGAAACCTTAACTCAAAATGTTCTGAAACTGTGGTTACTCAAATAAACTAGCAAAATATCGAATTTAAAAAACAAAACAAAACAAAACAATAAACAAAAACAGAATTTAATGTTCTATAATGCTTGAAAAATACATTGATGAGAGTCCTTCTTCACATATACTGCATTCTCACATTACCGCAAGAAACATTATTTTGAACATATAAATTTGTGAAGTGTTTTGTTTATATTCTTATGACTTATTTTTTTGCGAAATATTGTTGCTTCGCCAAAAATAAAAAATAAACTACTCGATATATTTTTAGTAAAAGGAAACAGAATTGATTGTTAGTTTAAGAAAAAGTTCTTCAAAAGCAATATACATTACCGATCATCGAAATATAAGAATTTCTTCAGATATATTTCGTCATTTACTGAAGTGCTAACTGATTTGGAATTTTGCAATTTGTTTTTATCATTATACTGTCTCCTCCGTTACAGTTATTTTGCACTCATACCTGATTAATAGTTACGCAATATTTCTTCACAATTATTTCGTCCCAATTAAAAAGAGGATATAATACATGAAATTCCAATATATTTTCTAATGACACAAACAATAATAAATAATAAACCATTATTAAAATATGTTTTTGAAAGTAGAAAAAGACGGCTTAAAAATACTAAAGTAATCACAGAAAAATGATGTAATGCATGAAATTCACGTATATTTTATATACGTGAACAAGATATGCCTATTAACAAGATAGTTAACTTAAAAAGACTTTCTACCAGCTCGGAGAAAATTATTCCACACTTTTTTTTATAAGTGCTGAACACTAACTGAGACCCAGTGATTGCAAAACCATTATTATAATAATTTATCGTTATTTTTCAAAGGGGAATAAGTCTATTTAGGAAGTTGTATAAGTCGAGACTTTTAAAGTGAGTGTTTGAATGAAGTTAAGATTATTTAAAAATTAAGTGAAAGTTCTGATAGTGTGTACTTCGACATCTCTTCGACTGCTACTTCTGCCTTTTTATGCATATTATATATATATATATATATATATATAAGTTCAAAAT